AGGAGGGCCACAGTCAGAGGAGCAGAACCAGGTGATCCTGAAGGAGGGCCACAGTCAGAGGAGCAGAACCAGGTGATCCTGAAGGAGGGCCACAGCGGAGCCCTGGGGGCTCTGAAGGCAGCGCTGGCCGCTGGGCCGCTGACTTTTAAAACAGACTCTTCTTTCTCCTCCCCTCCCCCTGCTCCTCCTAACCACACCCTCCCCAGGACGGTCATCAGACTGTGGGGATGGCACCAGGTGACCTCAGGATGACTGTCACCCACATCCACAAGGGCACCCCCAACAGAGAACCTGGGGTGCGCTGCCTCCAGTCACCTCTTCAAAAGCCCCCTCCCTCCGGGCTCCTGGTGACAGAATCAGGGAGTCCTCTGGGACACGAGTCCCCTGGGTCTCTCCTGGGCCAGCAAAGCCATCCACTTTCTTCTTCTCAGAACTGCGTCCTTGCTATTGGATTGGCACTGGGGACAACGACTTGAGCTTTTGGCAACAGAGGGACTTTTGTGACCCTGGCAAAGACCAGATCCCAGAACTCAGGAAGGCAAGGGTGATTCCTTCTGACCATCAACTCTGTGACAACAGGTTCCAGTGAGAATCAGTCAGTACGGGCCAAGGTGACCTAGAGTGGCCACGGCAGTGGGCACTAGAAAGCGTGACGTCACCCTGCTGTGTCAAGGGTGGTCCTGGGCAGGACTCTCTGGAAACTTGTCTGAGATCCCCCAGTAGAACTGGAGTGTAGAGAGCAGCCCCCTCCCCAGCCCTATTCTGGTTTTTTTTTTGAGAGACGGGGTCTCCCTGAGCCGCTCAGGGCCTCGCTTTGGCTGAGGCTGGCTTTGGACTTGTGATCCTCCTGCCTCAGCCTCAGAGCCCAGCAGCTGGAATTACAGGCGCCCGGCTCACCATGACCAAATCGGATGAAGGAATCTCAGAGGAAAGAGAGAAATAAGCCCACACACAGACAGGATTGTTATACGCCCCCCGCCCCGACCCCGCCGTGAAAAGAAATAACATGGAAAACAGTTCGACTTAATTTATAAACACTGTATGTTCCCAAATTGCTGAAATCTAAATATTTTAAGTCACAGTAAATGTCTTGGTAGAATCTCTTGGGGAAAAAAAAAATGTGGATTCTCCTATATCTGAGCTCCACGACAAACAAGGTTAAAGTTTAAGAAAACATCACTTTTTTTTTTCTTATTAAATAGTCAAGCATTGGGGGCTGGGGATCTAGCTCCGTTGGCAGAGGGCTTGCCTCGCTGGCACAAGGCCTTGGGTTCCATCCCCAGCACCACTAAATAGATAAATAAACATATATATTAAAAAGCCAGCCAGCCAGCAAGCAAGCGCGACATGGTGAATCTTCTGAGGGAATATGGATGATATTTGAAGCAAGTCCCGGGACATAAACACCGCCCTCTATGGAATGTCCTGTGTGGAGCACAAGGACTGGCCCTGTCTACCCGGGGGTCAGCGCTTGGTCTCTGCAGAAARGAGTCCACCCAGGATGGCGCCCAAGACATGTTCTGGTTCCAGGGTCTGAGAAATTCTTTCCTCGTCTGACTCTACATGTTCAGTCCAACTTGTGGGTGTACCCAATGTGTGCACGACATCACAAGGAACATCAGCTGGATTCCAGGAAACATGGCATGGAGAGACCCGTTCCAGCCTCGGGGAGACGGGTCCTGTGTCCCTGTGGGGAGAAAACGCTGCTGCGGCCCTCAGTGCGCCCAGAYCTGCGTCTCATTTCAGGAGAACTGGGCCCTTCCTGCAGCCTGCCTGGAGGACTCCACCTTTCCACTTCTTAATACCTCCAGTCGCTTGCATTTTGGTGGGGGGTATGCAAAACCAGGTAGAAGGGAGCACTGAGAAGCGCATTTCCAATTCTTTTATTTCCGTAAATGTTACGTTTCAACAACTAGAAATATCTCATCGATGTGCTGATTCAGGAGCTTCCCTGAAAATCCCTCTCTGATCCCTGCTCCTCCTCGCTGCGCGGCAGAGCTGACACCACGGGGCCTCGGAGGCTGCCCGGTGCTGACTGGGTCCTGCGGAGGCACAGATGATGTGATTCCTTCTGTTAGCTCAGGCCTCCCCGGCCGGGCTGTCACCAGCCAAACCCCCAACTCCTGTGCCCTTAGGACGAGCCCCTCCASCAGAATCCGATGTTCCCAACATAAGCAGCATTCTTCAGCCGGCAGCTCCAGAGACGGTGGGCACCATCTTTACTCTCCTCACCCCTTTGGGAAACCAATTAGATCCCTTTGAACACTGCCCTGCTCCTTCCAATCTCCGTCAGGTGCCAGGAGAGAGAGAGAGTTCAGTGTCACTGTGCCTTGGAAAAACCGTCACAGAATTCTGGATCCAGAAACGTCACAGTTCAGGGAGAGCACGGAAWCCCACGACAGCCTCTTTATTGTAAAGACATCCTGGACTGGCGGGTCAAAGTGCCAACTGATAAGGAAATACCAACATGGGCACGGTTCCACCAGCGCATCACACTCGGACTTTATCGTGTGTACTCTTAGGTCATGCTCTGTACTTGGCTGACACTATTTACACGACTACGACTTCTTCAATGTGAACTCAAGAGTATCCCCTGCATTCCAAGCAAGACCCCTACTGTCCGTAGTGAGAGGAAGACCAAAGCCTTAAACCTGGATTCCAGCACTCATCCATGACCTGAGGGACCAGAGAGGCTCAATGCTGGTCTCCATACTGATTCTCCATGCTCTCTGGCCGCTCCTACGGCAGTCCTTAAACTCTATTTAAATCAGAGACTAGTTATTAGATGATGASGGAGCGCTAGTGTGGGCAGTAATTCATCCTGCAATTAATGAAACGGCACGTTCTTGTAACGAGAAGGCTATTACTGTCCTGCAGAGCTTAGCCAAGGGCRCAGGGAAAACGGAGCATCAGACATTCGTCTTTGGATCTTTTGAGAACAGTCTATTACGCTTCTCTAATTGTATTCTCCTTTCTTTATTCACAAGCAAGGGTGCTGTTGTGTGTTGATGAATTTCTCACGTCTAACCAGTTACTCCTGTGTTGGTAAGGGGAGAGGAGAACCAGGAGGGAGTGGGTTCCATCTGGTGTGTCTCCCGTGTGCCTAACGCGCGTTCTCTTACGTCAGCCCACACTTGCGGCTTAACACCTAAGAGTCACAAAAGATAGAATTCTGCAGAATTAAACGAGATTCCGGAGGGAAACTTGCTCTCTTTCAAAACTGGCAGCTCAGCTCTGTTCCCACAGTGGACTCCAGTTGCGACTTGGAGGGTTTTCTGGCTGATTGACACATTCAGGGATGAGCCAAGGACAAATCTGAAAGCAAACCAGGAGTGGGCCCTGGCCAGTGCCTTCCTGGAAGGCCACATGGCAGCCGCGGGCTTCATTCCAACACGTGGGTTTACGGCAACGTGCTGCCAGAGCCAGAGTCCAACAGAGGTCTCTGGCGCTGAACGGGAGCCCGCGGGAACCGTTTCCAGGACACGGAARTCCTCCGATGGCCCAGCAGGCCTGGCAACAGTTTATATGTGATTGAGCAAAAAAGGCTTTGTTTTTAACGGGATGGGCGTGAACGCTGGTGCGCAGGTCAGTGCGARTCGCGGGACTCCTAAATCTCCCACCGTGTCTCTGAGCGTGTACCACCGTGGGACGACATCCTGCGCCCTGTCACGCTGGCCGTCCGTCCTGTTTACAGGWCGGCTCCCGTGTGTAGAAGATACGGCTCTGCTCCAGTTTCTTATCTGTAGGACAATCTGTTTTCATTCCTATCATAAAGACCCCATAAGCTCCAGATCATGACGAGCAGCCCATTGTCACACMCCTGAGCTCATTTCAAGGGTTTACCCTCCTCTGGGTCAGAACCCTCTGAAACCACTGAATGGATCAGGAGGGACACGTTCTGCCGGGCCACATTCCTGCCGTGACCTTTCTGGTGGAAGACTCCTGTCCATTACAGGACTGGCGTCTCCCGTGGCCCAGGGTTGACTCGGCAGCCGCGGAGTCTCTGCACAGCACATCGTCTGAGGTTTGTGGCAGGACACACTCTCCCGGCCTCAATCCTGCGGGCCTTCAGAAGGGGTGCGCCAGCAGGAGGGGGAGCAGGAGGAAGGGCTGAGTGGGGTGCAGAGGCCAAGAGCAGCCTCCTCCTGCCTTCCTCCCTCCTCACCCTCTTTCACCCCCTCCTGCCCTGCAGGCCACACACAGCTGTCTGTATTGCAACCACTGACACCCGCCGATGTCCCCTGCCCTGTCCCCAAGGCTGCCAAGTCCCTGTCAGCTGATGCACATGAAGGCAGGTAGCCGGGGAGGGCCAGGCACTCCCTGACTCTGGGAAGTCACTGTCTGCTGTCATTTTAGCCCCTCAGAACTGCTGTCGCATCTTCTCCACATTCCACTCACCGCAGGAACTTTCCAGTGTCGCTACCATCTATCTTCCTAAAATGGAATTCTTCCCTCAATATCATTTCATGAATTTCAAGAGAGAGAGAGCAAATACTCAAGGATTCCTCGGGAAAAGAGCTCGGAAAGTTCAGATAAGACCAGCAAATTGAACACGGAGGTGTCTGCAAAGTCTTGTTCTTCAAGGACAAACCTGATCACTGATAAAGAGAGTTCTCCTCTCCACTACCCATTAAACCTA